ACCCATTTATGAAATCTGAGACTTAAATGAATGTATTTACTGAAAGTCACTGGAAATCAAGGTATTTACTTTTACAAGTACAATGAATGTATTACAATGTTACAATGAATTTTGCATGCTTCTACTCCAAAAAATGGCTAATTATGTCAGGGGATACATGTTATTTGGTATTTGTTACTCTCATAAGGACAACATGGATACAGGTTAACAGGCTTTCTTAGCTTAAAAAAATTTCTTTGACACAATTTCTAGTATAATTTCTAACTTCTTTTTGGTCAGATTTGTATCTGATAAGATATTTCCATTTCCCCACTTTAAAAAAAGAGGGTTTTAAACCACTTAGTGAAAACTCCTGACATGTTTTCTTAAAATTAAAGTAATAGCATATTTTAAGAAGACAGGAATGGTGGAGACAGAAAAGCAGGAGGCAATTCCATTTCTCTAGTTCTTAAAGCAATATGCTATTTACGCTTTTTAAATTGATAGTTATGCTTTTTTTATTATGTTAATACTCCAGTGCTCATTTAATGTGATAAATGCTAGAATTCAACAGCCCAAGAAATAGGAGTTATACTTTTTATAAAAAAGTAAACTAGTGAAAAGTATCTAAGAGCTATAAGTTATGTATGTCAAGATCAAAATGGAAATGTGTCATTCTCTATTAACTACATAAATGGTTTTCTGATTACATAAATTATTAGCTGCTCTTTGGGATCTTCCTTCACAATGGTTGAAGTTAAGTTTTGTTCCTTCTGATGCAATCATAACATAGCTCCCTCAGTAGAGGTTGAAAATGTGATCACACTCCACTATTGCCAACTGCATTTTTTCTATGAGAATTAAATATGGATAATGATCTCACTTATTAGACACAAATATATGACACATATTATTTGACTTATGTACTAATTCAAGAAATTAAAACCCACAGAAGAAAGGCTGAAGAGGACAAATGTTAATGGAGTTTTTTCACTAAGAAAAGTAAGAACAAAACTTTCAGATGTAGGTGGTTTAATTTTTAAACAATTCATTCATTTCTTTTTGAAGGGAAAAATTGATAAAAATAATTAAATTTGTAAATTATAACTGCCACAATGTTTACACGCATTTATGATTGTCTATTTTTCTAGATTCCGTATGAGACACAAGATTCTTAACTCCTCAGAAGCAGAAACCCTTCATAATACTCCTCTTAGCAAGCAAGTAGCTGACATATTACATTTCCTTTACTTAGAATGTAAATATAGTTCTCAATATATTCAACAAATCACTGTGTTTTCTAAGTAAGTGCTTTAAATCCCCTTTCATGTCATATGAAATCTTGTACATAATGCACAAGAGATAAAAGATTTAAAGATGAATGAGAAGCAGAAGCAGCAACTACAGACTGAAATAAGAGGCGATTTTTAAATGGCCCCTTAATCTTAAATTTTAATGAATAAAATTAAGTAATGAGAAGTTTGTTGGTATTAAACAGAGTACAGTATTAAAATTGTGTCATGGTATGTATCATTATATAGATCCAGAATTACATACCTTTGTTGTTATCCATTCCTCCTACAGCATACAGAGTTCCAACTGTAGATTTTCTAGGTTTAGTTCTTGGACTTTGCATTAAAGTTCTTCTTTCTGGCAATAGATGATATTTCATTGCTTCCAGAATTAGCTTTTGACATTCCAGGTCATTCTTAAATAATGCATGATTTTCTAGGTCAGCCAGTATCTGTAAATAATACACAATCACTGTTAATAATGCTTTTATATGAATGAACATATGACGTCAATAGTTAAAATTAGAAACTTAATGTTCATATTACTCCTATGTTGAGAGGTATGCATTATGTAATAAGAACTAATTACATTGATAAATAGAAGTAAATGGCATTCCTTCTAAGGGAAACAGAATGGATATTGTTTTCAATTCAATATTATTTATTATCATTTTTCTATACAAAGTATAAAGGAACTTCTAGAGATCTATTTTCCATTTCCTTTCCTCTTATGAAAGCTGTTTATAAATCAACTATGGTTGCCTATGTTGGCCATAAACATGTCTGGTGAAGGAAATTAAAAAATAACCTTCAACAGATTAGGTCATAACAAGCCTATCATAAATATTTATATACTTGAAGGTGTTCCAGGTATAGTTTAAATGCTTTTCAGATTAGAAAAAACAAAACAAAACAAAACAAAACAACAAAAAAAGCCTCAATAAAACTGGAAACAAGGAGGCAAAATAACAGTTCCCAATAGTGAAACTAAGAAATTTTATAACAANCTATCATAGTTTCGTTTATAAAATGTTTAAAAGATATTATTCACATAATGGTGATTTCATTTGTTTTATGGCTCTCGAATACTTTTTAAGTTGTTGTGAAAGAAAGGATTGGCTCTTCCGTCTCAAAAGTTTGCCGACCCCTGTTCTAGCCATAAGGGATTTCTCTCCATTTTTTTGAAGATGTCATACTCCTTCAACTGTAAAGTTTTATGTTTGATGTACCTCTAGTTTGGAATTTACCACCACAGCCACTCTGCCACTCCAATAATGTACTAAAGTAATGACTAATTATTCTTTAGATTTCAGACATAAAATTTAATTTCTAAAAAAAGGCAACAACAAATAATTTCCCTGTACTTCTCTGCTTTCTAGACTAGGCTAAGTTGGCTCCCAAGCATTGTACTGACTGCACCTGCAATTCCCTTCTCATTTCAATATAACGATCATTTTACTCATGATTATTTTGTTTACTATTTGTTTTCACGGATTAATTTGGCCGCTCTGTGAGATAGGGGTCATATTTATAATATTCACTATGGTCACAAATTCTTAATGCAGAGCCTGGCCCAAAATACCCATACTTGTGCAAAAGATGTGCATCATTATTGAATGCTTGTCTATGTGAATATAAGAAGGAGGGAGAGGAGAGGACAGAGATCTGAATTTTCCATAATACCTACAGAAAACCTGTGAGGGTAGCACCCATAGTTTATCAACCCCATGAGACAGCACCTGAATCGCAGTTATCACAGAGCTGAAGAGGAATCCAAGGAATGTTTGTTTATATAGCCCTTTGTAAGGCATAATATAAACATGTAAATAATTTCAAGAAAACATACCGAATATTGCATATCATATGGTTTGTGTTGTATTATTCTTCAAATTAGTCATGCAAAGATATGTCCAATTTTTTGCTATATTTTTCTTTTTTTTTTACATGCTCATTCCCTTTCTCTCATTGCCTTTCAAGAAAAGAAAACACAATTTTAAGATGAAATCTCAGTGCCTATTTTAGAAATAACCCAAGTTAATAAGGTATAGAAAACACTCTCTAAGGCATAAAAGCACATTGCAAATACAAGAAATTACCTTGAAAATGTCCCAGTTGCTCTTTAAAATACCTTGAAACATTGGGCTTCTATAAAATTTTCCTTACCAATAAAGTAGGTTCTCTGAGGCTTGGTGTTAGAATTTTATCTAAGTTTATGGGATATATTTAGTATCCAATTCTTATAGGACTAAGGATAAAGTAAGACTTCTTGAAGAGTCTTTCAAATATTTTTTTTCTGTTTTATTTCTGATTTAATCAGGAATACGTTTTTTAAACCTCCTGTATTATCACACTCTTAAGCTTCTACCTTACTGAATGTGAGCAATAATAACCAAATTGTTGGTATCATTCAATTCTAAAATAAAAAAGATACTAATTCATAATATACATCATTGTTAAAGAATTTCTTCAATCTCAAAACACTACTGTGTAAGGTTAGAGAAATTAAGATGCTGCCAAAGAGTTTTAACTGAATAGACTCCATATTTTCATATTGTTTTTTTATGCTATAGCAATTGTATTTAAAGTCACCAGATTTAAAAATTCAAATTAGTCATGCCCCTTGGTTCTTTAATAGGCTAGTGATTTTTGTACTAGTATTAAGCTGACCAGATTTAATGTTTTTTTCTTTTTTCTTTTCTTTATTTATTTAAAAAAATGTTATGTATAGAT